GAGAACAACGGGGGGGGGACCACCAGGACAGAGCAGCTGGGGGTCTACAGGGAGAACAATCCACCTCGCTCTGCTGCTGCAGCAGACGGTGCTTTCTAAGAAGTGTCTGCAACGTCTTTGCTTCTTTCACTTACATAAAGCGAAATTCTTTAAATGTGTCTTTGAATGTAAAATGAATATTCTTTCTTAGTGTACGAGTCACCAGAATATGTATAAGGCTTTTTTAAAGGGAGGGAGGAAGGGAGGGAGGGAGGGATGAATGAATGAATGAACAATGAAAACTAAGAACATACACACGGCTAAACTTGCATTATTTCCCCAACAGCTTTCTAGCAAAGATGATGCTATTTCAAACAGTGGCTTCCTGTTAAAAAACACTTCAGTGTAAGAACTTAACACACAATCACAACAGATGGGACTGGGAAAAGTCACTGAGAAATCCTGGAAAACCATGTTGTTGTTATAGGCGCTGTTGGCTTGGCTCCTACCCAGAGCGACCCCACGTACAACGGTACGCACACTGCCTGGTCCAGAGCCAGAGCCGCAGCTGTTTCTACGTCTGAGCCACCGTCGCAGCCACTGGCCAATCCATCTCACCGTCTCAGCCACTGGCCAATCCATCTCACCGTCGCAGCCACTGGCCAATCCATCTCACCGTCGCAGCCACTGGTCAATCCATCTCGTTGCGGGTCTGCCCCTTTTCGCTGACCCTCTATTTACCAAGCATGATGTCCTCCTCCAAAATGTTGTCCCTCCTGACAACACATCCAAGGAGCGTTTGGCGATACTTCTTCTCAGACAGATGTGTTTGTTTTCCGGCAGTCTGTGGTACTCATGGCCAGAGTCACCACAATGCCCACCACCACCACCATTCCTGGGGATACACCCCCTACATGCACCCTCCCTAAGAGGCACGGCTACCCTCACCTGGCCGATGAATTATCCTGACTAGACAGCAGGTGAGTGGGAGAACCAGGACATGGACTCTCGCTCACGTGGCTCAACACTTGAGCAGCTATAACCCCATGATTCTGTTCAAGAACAAACCTTCAAAAATCTGAAAAATCTATCGAGGATCGGGAAACTCAGGAATTGACCACAGACTTTTATTGCAGTAGAACAAGTCAGAGATTTCTGAATGAAAAGTCCCAGTGGGGTGGAATTGCACTCACCAATCACTCTCTCCAGCAAGCCAGGGAAGCCCTGGAGGTAAGTGAGCAGGTCACTGTTAGCAGTCATTTCACAGAGAACATCAAGAAGCCGAATTATCGCCAAAACCTCCTAAAAAGAAAAGGAAGTAGAACTCTTAAGTATGTTTTAAGCTAGACAATCAACCATTATAATTAACTATGAGAATGCAATACTGGGATGTACAAGATAGGGTCAGTGTTTGCAACCAATCAAGAGAGACAAAACCATCCCAAAGAAAACACAAGTATCGAACGTGTATGTGAAAAACACATTTGCCCCAACAGCACACATCTGCCATCAAGAACGTAAGATTCTGTTCCATTAAGTGTGTTCCTGGAGCAGTCAGCAAAAGTTCTTATTCAAGCAAAAACATCTTTCAACATCAGAGTAAGTGTTCAAAATCACCAGCTGTGTATGTAACAGTTATGCAAAACCTTTCCTTTTGAAGCCTTGCCAGCATGTAAATTCCACTTTAAAGATGCCAAATAGCCCATTGGTCTCCTCCCCACAGGGATCCTGTAAAGGCTGTGGTCACAACAACTCTGGAGCAAGAATGTGCATTATTTCTGGGTAAACACAAACCTACATGCAGGATCTTGGTGGGCTAGAAAAGACTTGTTTACTGGACAATGTTAATCCACAAGGGTATTAGGAATTATCATCAAATCACATGACCAAGAAAACTACCAACTGCATGGTGTCTGGTGGTCCTGTTATCTCTAAAGAGTAATTTCTGTATAGAATTTGAGCCCCATTTTTAAGTACACATTATTGACAAAATGTGGTGGTGACTGCACAGTGAGTTCATAAAGATACCATTCTCCAAAAGAAAAAACAAATTATTTTCTATTGTTCATTCTAAATGAGTACTGTTCTCCCGGGTGGTGCCGTGGTTAGAGGTCTTGCCTGCTAACCCAGAGTCCACACTCAGCCCACCAGCCCCTCCACGAGAGGGGATGCACTGGTCTGCTTCCAAAAAGATCACCGCCTTGGAGACCCTCCAGGGCAGTTCTGCTCTGTCCTACAGTGTCGCTTTGAGGCAGAAGCAACTCGAGGGCAAAGAGTTTGGGTTTTTGGATTAATTAGATTTCACAGTAATATTTTAATAGAGCATTCTGAAATCGCAAAATAAATAGCAAAAAAAAAAAAAACTCACATTTTTAATGTTTTGGATCTTAAAATTAATTTAACAACTTGCATTTGCTAATTAAAAATCTAGGAAAAAATCTAGATTCGAAGTTTGAAATTAGTTAAAATACTAAAAAGGACTCTATCCATACAGCAGAACGTTCTTCAGCCATGAAGAGAGAGAGGAAGTTGTGGTCTAAGCTGCGACACGGACGGACCTTGACAACATGACGCCAAGCGACGGAAGGAACCAGACACAAAAGGCCAAGTACTGTACATGATCCCACTTACGTGAAATAGCTACAACAGAGCCATGTCCGGAGACCAGCGTCTGTCAGCGGTTACCAGGGGCTGGGCAGGGAGAGTTACTGCTGAAGGGGCACTGAGCTTCCATCTGGGGGAGTGAAACCAGCAGACACGGGTACTGGGCACTGGGAGCGTGAGATGGTGACTGCAGTTAACGTCACTGCAGTGCACAGCTAAGATGGCAAACTTTTTGTTGTACAGGTTTGAACACAAGAAAATTAAAACACAACGACTCTTGCTTGAGCTAACTGATGCCCTGCCGGGTTGCAGCAGCCCCTTCTGTAAGGTGGGCGGTGGCCAGACACAGTGACCGTCATCTCCAGACACGGTTTCTCCTTCAAGAAATGCCTCATTCTTGCTTTGGGGCAGAGTGTGAACAAGAGGATGCTGGACACCTCGTCATCCAGTAAGCTGGCCGAGCCCGGCAGGAGCAGCCGGAGCGAACCAGAAGCTGCCTGAAGAGGCCGGCGCCAGGCCGAGGCGGGGCACCGGGGTGTCAGGAAGCGCTCTCTGCCTGCAGCGGACTGAAACCAGTCAAAGTTCCCAACCCACGGCCACGGAATGAAAACTAAACTAAACAAAACAAACCTATCGGTCATTTTCGGATGAAGCCACAAAACCATCATTACTTTGGAAATCAGTAATCAAGAAGGATAAAATAAATTTCCCTTTTCTTACTCAAAACGTACCACCAACAATCTAACAGCTGATTAGGGTGAGTTTCTCTTTATCAAACATCCCAACTAATAAATGAAGGAATGACAGAATCAAAACATCACCATTTGGCAAACCCTAAAGGATTCACAGGTCTAGGCTACAGTCAGTGACAGCTAACATCACAAGGAGAGAGATAAATGGAGCTTCTATGCCCCTTGAGGAAGGACTTGGCTCCAACAATGAAACATCACGGCCCAAAATGACTCCAATCGGAACAAGCCCCAGAACTAACGACCACGCACAGAAAATGCAAGGAGAGCCACCACCGAGAGGGGCTCGTCAAACCCAGCCTGGGAGAAGCGATGGGAGCGGCACCACCGAGAGGGGCTCATCAAACCCGACCTGGGAGAAGTGACGGGAGCAGCACTGTTTCTTCTGCAGACACCTAGCAGGACTGACATGGGACCTGTACACCAACTGCTATATCTGGCCCTTATGTGTATCCTCATTCAAGGAAACATATGTGAAAAAAAAATTATTAGACAACTAGGAAAATCTGAATAGTGTTTGTCTGACAATAAACACTGATTATTAACTTTTCATATGTGTTAGTCATATTGTACTTCTGTTTGAAGGCGTCCTTATCTTCCAGGACTACATATATACAGCATTTTCTGACCAAATGGGGGGGGGGGGCGGCTCAACTTCAAAGCTTCAATGCAGGGCAACTGACGTAAGAAAGGAGGCATCGTGAATGGACAAGAACGGGAATGACTGCCACTAACGCCAGAGGATGGCGATGGAGTTTCAGTCAACTCTCTTCTCTGCCTCTGTCCATGTCGGACATTTTCCATGATAAAAAAGCAAATCTAAAATTAGGAGGGTGTAAGAGAGGATCATGAAGTTTCCTTCCAGCTCTTAAATTCTGTATTAATTGAAATAAACCCAAAATGAAATTAATCATTCCCACTCAACACACCCCAATTTTCGTCATTAAAATCCTTTTACTAATAAAAGTGTGTCTAATGATTGTTCGGAAGGAAGATGGGGCAATCTACTTCCATAGTGATACTGCCTTGGAAATCCAAGGAGAGGTCGCTATGAGTCGGGTCTGACTTGACGGCACATAACAAGAACAACAACAAATGATTGTTGAGACAAGAATCATAAAAGAATAGCCGGGGAAAAAAAAACACTCTTGAAAAATAAAAGATGTTCTTTCAGATATTTACAAGAACTGCAGAAATATGGTAGTTACCTCAAGCAGAGGTAAATGCAGCAGACAGAGGCAGAAAAGGGTCAGGCAAATCCAACAAAGAAAAGTGTCAGGAAAAATGGTGAAAGATTTTCAAATGGGGAAAAAAAGAGCAGACTCGTGCCCAGCTCACCTGTCTGGGTTACCCAGGCCTCTCAGCGTCTCTGAGCTAGTCTACACATTGTAAGCTGCAGAAAAGTGACAACAGAAATGGTTCCTGACCACAAAAACGTCAATGAGCTGTGGCTGGTGGAGCGTCGTTATCACTGCCTGCGGAGGGACTGGCTTTTGCCTCCATTTGTGGTTTCATCTCAGCATTCCTTTCTGGCACAGAAACACGTGGGCTCTTTGAACATTCCTTCGAGCCAGCTGCTACCATCTTTGTAAAGAAAATCCAGAGACAGACTCAAATGCATCTAAGCAGGCAGCATGTGGCGGGGCTGACCGAGGAAGCAGCTGACAGGCCGGGCACACACTGCACACAGTCTCTGTGCTCCGTGCGTCTCACACACAGCAACACACAACACTTCTTACCAGGAAAGACACAGCGGCGCAGACACAGTCCTGACCCTGCCACGATCACATACGAGCCAGCACAGAAGCTGAGATTCACACCAGGCAGTCTCACACCAGAGATTTTACAATCTCCAACAGTCAAAGACGCATTTCACACAAACCCTTATCTCACTTACTCAAATCCTAGACTGATAAAAAAGGTGGGCTTTGCGGCAAAAGATCCAGGACATGCAGGTGCGTATTTCCACAGTATCAGTGGGCAAGGCATCTTGTCACCAAATGTGGTTTTTCAAAAAATCTGAAGCCATTAAGAGTAAAATCAAGAAGCCTAATTAAATTAAAAATAAGCAAACCAAAAACTAACAAAAGATTAAGAATACCATAAATAAATTCAAACAACAAAGTAACTATGGAAGAAACTTTGATATATTTACAAAAGATTAAATTTTCTGAAAATGCTTATTAAATGTATTTTAAAAGGAGCTTGAGATGCAAAATGAATGACCACGTTGGTCAGTGAAAAAACGAGAGAGAAATGCTGATGAAGTCAGCCTGGGGAAGTGCAGCAGAGGACGGAGACCACGCACGCGCTGGGGCCCCACCGGCCCTCGCTTTGGGGTTCCTGCAGAAATCTCTCCAGAACTCTTACACACACATACCCTCTGACCAAGCAATTCGACCTTATTTGTACAAAACCGCAGAGGTACTCACACAAGGCGGCGCACTTAAGCGCTATCTATAAAGGTTTAGAAACAAACAAAAACCCTGGAGGCAGCTGTACGTCCACGCACCGGGAGCAAATGCGAACACTGCCAGGCGCCCTGCAGAGGAAGCGCTTCCACTAGTAAACAGAAGCAGCGCCCGCAAGACAGACCAGAGGCCATGCAGACACACACGCCCGTGCACGAGCAGCACTGCGAGGTAGGAGACAAAACCGCCTCGGTGCATACACGCAGAACAATTGGAAGGAACAGACAGTTAAAGGCAGGTTATCTGCAGACAACAGACGGGACCAAGGCCAAAAAGGAAAAGGAGAGAGACTGTCACTTTGTGTCAATGACTTCAGCTTGGACTTTCCTTTTTTACAACACAGTAAATATTATTGGCAGAATACAAAGATTGAAACCTTTAGCAGTATGTGAAAGGAAAGAACGTTATTTTACTTACTCCTCATTTATTAAGCATCTACTACATAGACTCGACGGCAAACAACAACAACAACAACAAC